CATGAACCTGAAGAGCTAGACTGAAAACCACACCGTACAAGTGCTAATGGCACCTTCTAAAGTTCTATAGTGTAGTTGTAACAGCAAAGGTAAATGGGAGCTTATGTACTCTTGAAGGACATACAAACTCCCTTGAGGCTTCACAATGAATACTGCTAACGTTACGTTACATGTACAATCCTGAGTTGTATTACAGCACACGTACACTAGCTACTTCAGTATACTGAAGTGGCCCACGTATATCTATGCCGTTTTAAGGCCAGGGGCGCCGGGGCGGAGTGGGGGGGGGGGGGGGGGGGATGAGTGAACCCCTACCTTGAAGTATGGTAGGGTCTTTCGGTAACTCAGCACTGACAACTACCGAAATACAGGTACTGGTATGCACACGATCATGACGGAAGCTAGTGTTGGAATGGAAGTCAGGAGTGAGGTTGGTTGGCTGGTTGGTTGGTTTTTATTTCACTTCGCACATTCAAACGGGATGACGACCCAATAAAATGACGGCGAAGGCTTAGCCTAGAAGTGGCTATGGAAGAACATAGTAAGGGTTCAGTTGCCACAACAGTGCTCATACCACGGCACCCAGGGGTCATGAATCGCGTGAACAGTGCACGGACAATTTCCTTCGAAGAATAATAATCGACCTCGTTCTTTTGTAGTGTTCTGTTTCACCGGTTCGATTACGTCCAGGAAGTCGTAAATTACCCGTATTCGACGACTCCCTGATTACTTCGATGCTGCTAAAACTCCCCGTGTCCCAGGTGCAAAGAATTCACCTCGGGCTGTTCGACTGGGAAGCTGTGAAAGCGAGTATGTCCAAGCTCGGCTCCACTATTGGCATTACGACTACGACGGAGAAAATGGCTTCAGCGACAGGCCCTGGGCTACCGACTCCATTTTCTTGAGTTGGAGGCAACAGTTCTAGCGATCGGTGCCTGCAATTGTCGTCTGCCATTGGATTGCAAACCTGTGGATCACAAGTGTCGCCGTCTTGTTTCAGACTGGGACAACTTGCGTGTTTCTGCTACTCACCCCACTTTGAACACAATCAACTTATCACGGTGCGAATGAGCTTTGACGCGCCACACTGGCAGGTCTGACATTGGCAGGGCAAGTCGAGGGCAAGCGGAGGGTTTGGCCTTCAGCTTGTCATGTCGTCTCGCTGCCTCTTCCCCGGCCGGAGAGCACCGCAAACCCGGGCATGATCCTCTGAGATCTATCACCAAGCGGGATGACGTCATCAGGACACGTTACATGCCATTAACGAGTAATCCCTCCGCCGCATACAGTGTTCGCGTTTGTCAGTTTCGTTCTCTCCAGAATTGGACCAGGTCGTTGGGCACTGGAGGACGCAACGGTCTGGGGTCGATGGGCAACCTGTACGTGACTTTTCGCTACCTGCATAAGGTCACTACAGACTGTCCAATGCATGCGTTGGAAGGGGGTTACAAACGGGATGATCATTAGGGAAAGGAAGGGACGTAACGTATAATTATAACTGTGTGACATTGAACGCACTCCGAAGTCTTACACTCTCTCGACATTGCTGCGCACAAGACAAGACAAAACGGGGTGGCTGGCAGCTAGCGCAACGAGATACATTCTGATCGCTGGTAAAATATCGGCGGCAGCCACGGCGAGCAAGCAACGCGTCGCATCTCAAAGTGAACCGCCGGCGCCTGGCATTTACTGGCTTACGCACATCATGGCGCTCACTGAGTCACATGTGCACGGGCCACACGACCCTAGACCTAGTCCCTATGCAGGCAGGCAGGCATGGTCGTGGCAGAGACCTGCTTGCAGTGCTTCCTTGATGAGCAGCGAGTGACAGACAGTCATAATGACAGGGATCATCAGAGAGTATGATTGTACAATACTCACTAGATGTTACTATGGTCGTAGTCAATGAACCCCTGTTCTTTTCACCACACCAAGCTATAATTATGCAGTTGAAATCCGAGTCCGCCTTGAAAATGCATGTACATTGTAGTTCTGCCACCCCCAGCATGTCAATGCTGTATTTAAGGCTCATCCATGTACAGTACTTGTACATGTAGTAGTACTTCACCAAGAGCATACGATCGATATTATCTTACCAAGCCGTGTCTGTACACCTTTATCAGTGGTACATGTGCACGTATTAGGCTTAGGCTAGCTTCGCCCCATTTACATTTAATTACATCACCGATAGGATGTCACTTCGGCGAGGTTCAGAGAATCGTATCGCCCGGAAAACCCCTCTGACTTCCGGGTGTGGCTAGGCTTTGGCACATACTGGTAATTGAACTCTAGGACATAGCGCTGCACAGCCCACGTGATCACAATGCTCACCTCCCTGAATGTCCCCGATTGTCTCCCAGGCCAAGTTAGTTACAAGCCAAGGTAACGTTCTAGCACATCGATGGCTCAGACTGGGATTTGGGGATTATTCATGTGGATTGGAGTGTGACTCACTGGTTGAACAGACGTTTAACGTTAAGGGCGGCGGCATAGTGTTGCGGGCAATGGAAATACTCTTCGTTTCGTCCTCCACTAATTGGAGTTGCTAGGGCAAAGCTATGTGTATGCACTCCACGCCAAGACATGCATATCAGCGTTATGTCTGAAATTAAAGTTATGACGTAGCACATCGATTTTCCGGGGTCAGCCGCTAGAGTGTTCTCCGCATTGAGCTAGGCATGGAGCCCTTGACATGTATCGTGTTAGTGTCCTTTGCCTGTACGCCTCCGGTCTATGCCGGAGTGGAACTTGCAGCGGACCGCGGTGCTCGTGATTGCGAGGAAAAGCGCATTCGTCGCATGCATGCCTCGTGCTGATGGCGCCAGTCATTGACAGCATACCACTTGTCCTGGCCAGCGCGCTCACGTTTTTATTCCCGGCCCCGTCGGCTTCCAGACATGCATCGACTGGTCCTCTGTGCTGCTTACTGCTGCTGCTGAGTGCTGGTGATACTGCATGCACGACTCCAGTCCAGGGGAGAGCATTCCCCAGTCGCTCTTCGATCAGTGATCGGATTCTCCACTATGCGTGTATGTGAACAGGTAGGCAGTAGGCTAACGTTTGGTCTCCACTCGGCAGGGTAACTCCTGTGACAGGCAATTTGGATGACCTGGAGAAGCAGAATGCCTCACACATCCCTCCACGTGGAGCCGAACAATTAGAATGAACTGGTAGTGACAGTTCTGTACGCATGCATCCCTGGCACTGGCACTCAGTCAGCTGATGTCTCCCGAAATGCTGCAGACAGACGCAAAGTGGAGAAAGGTCGTAGTTCGAGTTATAAAACCTTTCGAGTGACCGCTCCTCCTCCCCACTCTTCCCGTCACTACGTTCGCAATACATTAGAAATCAGTTGTCTCCGTTTTAGGCCGCGCACGGCACCCGTTTATCCCGTTATCTATAATCCGGAGCTCTAGCCCATTTCCTACCAGCCGCATCTATCTATTCGCCAGGATATCCATCAATCAATCCGGATTTCAAAATCACCAGGTAAGATGCCATTTTTACTCGCAGCTACTACAGTCTGGCGACTCCGCACTGAAACGAAGCGTGGAGTGTAAACGCTCCACCGCGAACTGGCAGTGGGATACAGATCCAAGCTGATCAATTGCATGGGTAGAGTCCAGTAGATGCTGTAGGAAATTTCAGTCATGAACTATAGCTAGTATAGGCTCTGGGTGTGAGCGCAGCAGCTTGGATATGCTATGCTGTCATAAGTACTTGGCTACTGCGCTAGGGTCCGTAGTCTATAATAATAGTCTGCAGTCGGAAATATGTAGAGCCTTGAAGTTGTAAACTTGTAGTTCATTGTGGTGTGGCCACTGGCGGGTGGCTGTAGGCTTGTACTGTATTAGAATGGGGAAATGGCAGAGAAGGAACGCTGACCGTCGAAACCATAATGGAAGATTGGCTTGACAGTACAATCATGTACTGTGCATTGTACTAGCTAGTCGATAGTAGTCATACTGGCAAGTGTCTGGAATAATGTCGTGATCTAGATTGAAGGACATCGTCTAGGATATTGTGGTAGAAGATAGTGTGTGCGCCCTTGCTTTGAAGTCGTGGGTCCAAATCGCGTTGTCTTCGCATTCAACATACCCGAGTCTGTATGCAACTTCATTTGCATGCATGTAATTTGGCTGCACGCCGTCATGCAAAGTAGCTTCAGCATCAATCTCCTGCAAATGCCTCGGATCACACCAGGGATATCAGTGCATACAGGTTACATTGTCTTTTGAATGAGTCACGTGCCGCGAACAATGAGCAGTGTCGAGCGTTGTTCGCATGTGGGCGCCTGCGCTGCAAGTAAAATGACTAGTAGTGGCACAGCGCCGCATTTCAGACTGTGTTCATTGACATAATCATTGACATGGCGTGCGCCTGGAACCCGACCATTCTACATACTGATCTGATAGTCACTGCGAGAGTGAATCGCTCAAGGCGACAGCATTCGGCGGCGCGCATACAATTCCGCACAGCATCCGTCTCATACAGCCAGCTTGTAAAATGGGGCAGCGAGATCAATGCACTGGACGCGTAGGAGGCAGCGGAATGACTTTAGTTTATGAGCCATCCGGACGACGGCGTCGCCTCGGAAGCTTAGCTACCCTGTCTAGAATCTCAGCGATCCCAGTCGGTTTGCTCTCTCTCTCTCGGCACTGCACTGCGCTACGCTAAATGCATCACATACCGACTACATGAGATACCGTTACATCAGCGCTAGTAGTAGTGGCGTCGGGAGTTAAGCTGCTTCAGCGAAGATGACGCCATTCAGCAGCTTGCCGTGGGGAGTGTTGGCACGGACGAGGACGAAACTCGGAGCAAGTGGCTGTCAGTGTTTTGTCGAGCAGATTGTGTTCAGACCAAACTGTATTCTTACACGTGATGATCGGAATCAGAAACTCAGAGTCATGTGTTACGTACGTACTGGTTTGGCGGCATTGGCATGCACGAGGTATTATGGCTCTCAAACATTGTGAAGGGATCTCACAATCTATTATCTTGCTAGTGCGAGCCCCGGGAATTGAGCAGCAACAGTGGTATGGCTGGCGGAGTAGACAGTGTGGCAGATCTTTACTCACTGCAACTCTGTGTCAGTATACTAATAGACTCAGTACACAGGGCCTGCAATATCGCGAATACCCTGTCACAAGACTGTCACTTGATCGGACCGAGTCGCGACCATGCTGATAAACTGGCACGTCGTACTAATACTACTAGTAAAATAGCCAATGTTATGCTATATGCTACAATGGTCCGACTTCAGTTGATACGCTCGCACTGTTTCAGCCCACTGCCGCCGCTTCGTACACGAGCTGGGGCCGCCAATGCTACGCGACATCCAACTCCATGATGGCAGAGAGTCCGTCCTGTACCGACCAATCAATGACGTCGGTGCGATGCATCGCAACAGGATAACCCAGCTCACCTCTGTCTTGTGTTTGCCCAGCATCAAAGACAGCGCAAAGACGTCCGTCGAGAATAACAGAGCTTGCATGTCGGCATGCGCTTGGCCTGGCCTGGGTCTAATGATGACACATGATCAGATTGATAAGAATCTGGGGAAGGGGAATGTGATGTTCGCGTGATGGAAAGCGTCTTTCCAGCCAAATGGTCGGGACGAACTTCAGTGTCTTGCGGGGAATTTTTATAGAAATGCTGAGCCGCCATGTTGGAAAACCAAACCTGCAAAACAAGAGAGAACTCCACCAAGCACACCTGCTTGAGGCATGAGCTAATAAGCAGACACAGCGGCTCCGAAATCTGCTTGATAAGAACATGGATGACGCGTGTCTCTGCAGTGCTGAAGCTTTGAAGGCCGCTCCTCTCGGTTGATAACATTCCTCGTGCATTTAGTGATCGCATCCTTACCGTGCTCAGTCCGTGGGTACACTGGACTGTACAGAAAAGGTGTCTGGTAGAAGGGGGTGTGAGGTCGGTGTGACTCTCCGGACCTGAGTCAGCAAAGATAACAGCCAACTTTCGCGTCTCCTTGACTGCCAGCCTGAATCGTGGTAGTGTAGGCTGTAGGTTTGGTCAAAGGAGCAACAGTAATATCACGAGTACTGATTAGGTAAACACCCACAGCTGCCCCACAGCTGCCCCTGTTCGGAGTGTTCCGTGTTTCCAATACTAACTCTACAGAGTTGAAACCTAGCTCCGGCCACTGGCGAATGCGTTACTCGAGCACACGGCATTACTCATCATTACGTCGCGGCATTGCAATAGCCTGGTATTGGTGGCTGCATTTGGGTATAAGTAGATGAGACGGGGGAAACGTGTAGCAGTTTTTGACCTGGTGTCCCTGGACGCGATCTGAAAGCGCTAAAACGACCACTGTGCATCGGGTAAATCTGATAGGAATTCTATGTCGAACTCAGGCTGTGTGTGAACTTTGGGCAGTGGTCTGACCGTGATTCTGTGTTGATTCTCCCGTGTGACTGCAGACTAATCCTCGAGATCGTCCTTATCGCCATTCGTCACCATCTCAACATGGCCTCAGCACTATACCTTCACCTAGCTGTCCTCTTTCTAGTCATGCCCAAACCGTTCGCCATCACCCTGGGGGGCATCGTCGGCTCATCCTCTCAGGATGCGTTACGTACTGATCAAATACACGGATGTCAACGAAAGGGTTCATGTAAGTACTGCTTGTGGGAGTCACCCTGATACGCTAATTATGCGTCTATGTTGTGACATTGCTCCAAACCTTCCTCACGTCAAATGTCAAGTTATTTGTGTCCATGTGCTGTTTCTACACAATCCCATTCCTTCAGACACACGTGTCCATGTCTGATTGTTTCTCTGCTGTCTTTCCCTTTGCTGCGTGTGCCCGCACAGTGTCAAGTTTCTATCCTGAAGCGGTGACTGGTTTCACTGCTCTCTCCCTTGGAGGCATGAGCAAGCGACAGTGCCTCGAGCTGAGGGGCAACGTGGACGCGATCACGGACGCCCTGCGCCAGATGTTCCGCGCCACACACAGCGGGCGCATGTTCGAGGACGTTCAGGAGGAGTATCTCTACTCTCTGACAGTGGCGCAGTGCGTGGAGTGTGTGCCATCTGCAGAGGACGCCAACATCTTCAACGGAGATGCCGTGTTCTTCATCAAAGCCGGACTTCCCGGTGGCGATCGGCTGAGAGTGCTGCCCAACGAAGAGCTCGTTGTGGAGATGGAGAACGTTGCGGAGGAGAGCATGCCAGAGCTCTTCAGCTCATCTGATATAACGCACAGCTTCACCGCTTACCAGGAAGAAGAAGAAACCGCCACGCCACCATGTGCACGAAGCAGTGGCTCGGGCAGCACACAAGACGGTGAGGACAGTGCGGTGGAGCTGGGAAGTGGCTGCGACTATGAGCAGCCCGCCGACGAAGATGATGACCAGAGCGCGCTGGGCGAGCAGGAAGTGAGAATGTCCAAGCGTTTCGCTCAAAACCAGACCGGACCGCAGACGCGCGAGGGCTCATCGCCAGACACCGAGTGCCGGCCGACGCTGCTGGAGACGCTGAACACGTGGTACCGATGTGCAGTGCATGGCGACTGTGCCAGACAACGGTGTCCCGGCGGGAACAACGAAGCCAGGGAAATCCCCGAGTCGTCCGAGGAACGGTCACAGCGGGCGGTGCTCAACAGCGAAGACTACCTATTCGCAGAGGATGCCCGACAAACGCATCAACACGAGGGTAGCTCGAGAAAGCAGTCGCATGCAGTGCTCTTTCTCGCACTAGCTATTGCAATGGCCTGCATAGCATTAGCTGCTGTGCTCATAGGCTACGCATGGAGACGGCGATCGGCGGCACGGAAACAAGAAGATGTGGAGGCGGTCTGAAACCCGTTGTTCCCCGTCCACACCAGACTGTACCATATCATTATTATCATATCACTGTGCGTGCAAATCGACTCAGACGTTCGAGGGAATCAATTATTATTATCCACGTTTTTATCCCGCCATTTATCACAGCCTTCCCATCGGATTTTTTCTCCTTGTGCCAACCCGACTCCGTGCTAAATCTGCACCTGTGCAAACGCCAATGCTAGACTTCCAATCTATAGTCCGATTCTAGAGTGACTAGGTAAAACAATTATTATTTTCTATTTTTGAAATTGAAACCTCTCGTCGAAATTTGATCCATTTCGATTTGTTAGACAGACTCTATACAGCCTCTACATATTATCATGCCAATCAGTTCATGGATTTTTAAACAGTCCATCCGGAATTTCATCGATTTTCCGTATCCGACTAGCTCTGGACCAGGCCTGTGGAGTGTGCGTGGTCTTCATAAACACCGGTAGAGAGGTTAAGATGCACGTAACTGTGTGTCGTTATTTCTGACGTGACGTGAAAGCTCAGGTCGCGTTTCTAGTATTTGGCTCGCGCGTCGAACGCGAGTGACCTGCAGCTCACGTCGAAATTAGGAGTTGTACGCGAAATTTGACGTGAAATTGCGCGTCACGTCGGAAATAACGTGTATCTTAACCTCTCTATCAGTATCACTGTCGCCATGATTGGTCATGATTGTATGCCTGCCGCATCAGGCACCTGAATCTGGCTATGATCATGGTGCTGGCCTGGCTCGCAGTGACTTGTTAGACTTTCGTCTATCAGTATCACTGACGCGTACAAGATGGCTTCCTTTTGCATCTTTTCTTTCTGGTGGAAGCACCTATACCACTACTAGTACTAGCAGAACGGCTCGAAGCGTCAAAGTCAAAGTGCTCTAACTGAGATAAACACAGTGAGCTTTGGCACGAGTCAAGGGCAGATAACGTTGACGCTACCCGGATAGGGTGCTCAACCAAGCGAGGCGAGGGAGCGTATTAATTTGGGCGTATTATGTAGTCAACAAACCCACAGCCATGATTATTACAGACTTCTCCAATCCCATGACGAACGAAGCTCTACGAGACGAAGTTTGATTCAGACAAGATCCGATAAGCAATGAAGATGCACGTGCATCTACTGGAGAAAGAGGTCTCATGATGAATCCTCAAATCGAATGAGCTTGGTACTCGTACCAGAGCCAGAGGAGGGCCAAACGTGCGTGTTGTCAGTGCAAGGGGCATCAGGCATCAATCACCGCGCCAGCAGCTAGTCGTCAATGTCTGGATTTCTCTTCAAAACCACAAATTGGCATGGCAAGGGAACAGTTTTCGTAGGCCTGTAGTCCTGAGCCTGTCTGTGCCTTGAAAAGCAAAAGCAGGGACTGTTTTGGCAGTGAAGTAAAACACATTGGTGTTCCACTACTCACTGCATGAAAGGCAGGTTCATATTGTATAATAATTATTTATTTCAAGAATTCCCCAGAGGCCGTTTAGGCCTATCGAGGGGTCCCCATTTCTGTACAGCTAGGATGAGAATATGGGAATATAAAGTGAGCAGAGAAGGAGAAATAGCACGAAGAAAAGGACAACTGGGAAGGAATAGGGCATATGATGTTCACTGACGTGAGCAGATCAGTGAGAACAACAAGGAATATCAGTGAATACCTTTGCAGTTGAATTGAAACTTAGCCATACTATTATGAAGTTCTCTTTTAAACTCAGCAATATTTATAGTGGAGGTTATGGTAGGGGGGCAGACAGTTCCACAGAGTGCCTGCCTGAAACAGAAACATAGACGATAGTACGCGGCCATGAAGATGGAAGACTAGTTTGTTCGGACGGCGCTCACTTATGTCCCTGTGCAAACCAATGATAGGTAACAAAATGCAACCCCTCCCTTGTGAAAGGGTTAGACCAGGAAATCGTGAAAACTGACGTCAGGCTTTCACACAAGAAACTCTGAGTGGAGACGGACTTCCTTCCACCTGGCCGTGACCTTGTGTGGGGAAGCTCTGGAGCGCTAACCTGTCGGCTGAATGTCGTCACCCACAGTACCGCTCAATGACAATGGAATCCGATCAAGAACGCGCCGGCCTAGGTGCAGCACTACAAAAGTAGACCTACAAGCACTGGGATATGAAGTGGTGCGAGGCAGAGGGGTCGCTTATGCGACTCCCAGGTCCAAGGCGCAAAAGTAGATCTACATGACACGCATTGTATTTGATGCAAAAGATCGGAGTTCATGCCTGCGACGGTTCAACTACAGTGGAACCTCGTTAGGAAGAACACTGATAAGACTTTCGGTTTAGAAGAACTAGTATTCATAACTCTATTGGATAAATCACTGCGTATTCTCTGGGTATAAAATATGGATAAGAAGAACTCCCGTTATTGCAAACAAATACTATCGGTCCCTTGGTGAAGTTGGTGTTCGTCCTAAAGAGGTTTGACTGTACTTCGAAACCATGACTTTTTTTTAAATTTTATTTATGGATTCCCCAAAGGCCGAGGCCTAAGTCGAGGGGGTCTCCGTTCATGGCTTACTGGGAATATATCTGCAAAAGACTCGGGATGCGCGATGCTGATGGTGGTGCGAACCTCGAAAATTATGCCCGGGCTTATTTATGCGTGTACACGTAGACTAGGGGGGGGGGGGGGGGGCGTTCGTCTTCATCAACTGTTCGAACAAATTTTTTAAAGGGTGGAAGTGCGCGAGTTCGATTGGGATTCAAGTAGGAAGGGAGCGTCTCAGCTTCCTCGGACCAAGACCATTCGACTCAGCACCCCGACGACTACAACTGGTGAAATTTTAATTTTTGCCTTAACTTCCCCTTTAAAGATATTAGTTGAAGTGTCCCATTAGAACGAGTTTTCAGTGGAATTGTCATGGCGACGATGACGTCCGATCAGATCGACCATCTCCCCCTCCACGTACTACGTGACGTAGCTAATAGGGGTGTGCGGATAATGCTCGAAAAGGTGGCAGATTCTGCTCGAAAAGCAGTGAAATTGGCAGAACCATACAAACCTTATGGCGGGCAATTCCTCGAATTCTGCTCCATTTCTTTATCCACATACCAAACATGCATGAACCTTACCAGAAAAAGTACCGAATTCTGCCAATTTTTCTGCCCGCAGAATCCGCATATGCCTACGTAGCTATTCCAAACTCTGCGGAACTAATCCACCTTTCCCATCGGATGAGGTTGTGGAGTTTCGAGGAGTTTCGTTTTTCTGAAGAGGCCACCTCTTCAGAAAAACGAAACTCCTCGAAAAGTCAAAGAGTGACAATTCGAACGCGCCCTAAGACTGTAGCCTGCAGCTAGTGTAGGTCGATGGCCAGCAGGGTGTCGACATGTCGTGAACCTGGTGAAAGCCCCTGGTGCAACCAACTGAGTCTGTCTGCCGCCGTCTAGGTTCTGGAAAACCCATGCAGGGCGTGTAAACGAACGGACTCAGTGTTGGCGCAAATGCTAGCAGCAGCTTCACACGTTGAAAGAATGGCGCGTAGAGCTTCTGCCTCGGCTACTCTCATTGCCTCTTACTCTTAGCTCACAGTCGCTGCAGCATCAGAACAATAATAATATCTGAGCCTTGGAGTGCTGCAAGCACGTGTTGGTGAAGAAGCGCCAAGGGAGTAATGTTTACTCGACTGACCTAACTACTGTAGCCTCGGGTAGTTGTGCTTGAACGATAAAGGCGGAAGTACTGCTGCGCAGGGTTTGTTCGTCGAGTCGCTTTCGTTTTCCTCCTTTTTCCTGCACTGCCGCTGCCTTGGCAAGGTCTTTTTCAAGAAAACCGGAGAAGAGAGAAGAGATGTAACCCAACGTCGGAAAGAAGCGTGCCAGCTTCAATACAACCTGCCCGTGTTGTTGCACTTATCACCGACTTTCAGTTGAGCAAGAACATGGCCCAACTAACTTCAAGCACAAACGGAGCGGTCACGGGACACCGCTTGCGAAGTAAGTTGAGGAAACGGCTACCCCGCATTAAGAATGGATTACACTACCGCCAAAGAGTTGTAAAGTCGGCGGTAAGAGACGGAATTCCTCCTTGGTTCAATAATTATGGCGAACATGACTACACGACTCGGTGGAAAGGTATCGCTCCCATACGAAAGAGTTGTGAAGTCGGTCACAAAGACGTAATTCCTCCTTGGGTCAATATGGCGAAAACGTCTCGACTCGGCGCGGTGGAAAGGAAACGGCAGTCCTATGCTCTGCAGCCAAGCTCGAGCAAGCAAGCGCTCTGCGCGAACATTGAACAACGGGCAATGTTCGTATAATTCGGCTAGCTCGTTGACTTCGTCCCACCTCGGGGAATGGCTTGAAGCAGAGCAACGACCACGCCATGCAGCTAACAGGTTCACTGATGTCATCAAGAACACGGCGTCTTTCCTATTGGCTGTCTTGACATGCCACGAGGTGCAGAAATTAATAAATAAATAAATCCTTATCGTCCTGCTGGTGACCTCCAGTCCATCCAGCTATGGCCAGCCCTCCTGGACTGAACGGCCTAGGGCGAGATGTCAGATGTATTTCCGAGCAGAAGTGCACACGCAGTTCCGCAAGGCCAACCATTCCCCACTGTGAAAAGCCTCGACGCTCGTCGGGACAAGCGTAGCAGACAATGCCAGTTTATCACAAGGTCAGTGTGCTTGCTAGTGTTCTGGCTCAATCAAGTGCATGTACAATAATCTTTTCACAGACAGTCAGTCGCTGAGTTCCTGGACCAGCTTTGATTTCATGGCGAAAATTTGGAGACTAATTATTTTCAATTGCAGTGGAGGAGGACCTTGGTTGTGAATGTGTTGAAGAGATGACTGTTAGTCATTCCATCCAGAAAACAGTAACCATGAAAGCTGGGACTTTTTGAATATAAAGTCTGGTATTAAATCCTCTTTCAAATGGCGAAGAAATTCTTCCTGTAGCCGTTTTTAAAAGGCCTGAAAATCAAGGATGAAAGCTAGGCTTCCAGCCAGTCTTTAAGCAATCTGAGTAGCTTTCAAGTGACCAGGGGCGGACCACGTTTTGTCCCGGATGGTACACCCAATTCATCCAAAAAAAAGCAATGCAAGAGAGCTAAACGTGGCCTGTTGACCGAAAAAAAGAACATTTCTTACTGCGTTGTGACACCTCTGTTATCACACTGTACTCTGTGGCAGATCCTATTCACAAGTTGTATGTGATTGCAACATCACGGGATGTGTCTTGTATGAAGTGGCATCGCATGCACTGGTTTGCTGCTCCACACCCAGTGAGGCGGAACTATGAACTATGGGCAAGCTACACAGACCAGGCGTATTTGTCCTGAATACGGATGACTACTTCTGACAGCAAAAGGAAGCATTACAACATTCAGGGATTGAACAAAATATTTGAGAATAATTATGTCTTCCACACAGGGGTTGCTATAATTGGGAGGTGTCTGCAAAGGAAGGTTCCACTAACCGTTACTTGTGGTAGTGTGATGCGATGTCATTTGCACACTTGTGTCAGGCTCTTTATGGTAACCCAGACACCGTGGGCTGTTTTGCAAATAAAAGTCCTATCCTACCAGCAGGCTGTAGTTATCGGCATCATTCTGAGATGTTAGGACAGCACTTCGAAGTACTGTAATTTCACAAATTTTCGGTGAAGTTTTATTTTTGCTACTTCTCAGTACATGTACCTAAATTTTCACCTAACCTGGCCTTTTTCCCTCATACCAAAAATATTAAGCACCGAAAATTTCTGAAACTAGAGTACTTGCTGCGGCATGTTGGTTGGTGTACGCCCGGCTTTGTTCAAAGCAAGCGGCTTGATTGGAACTTTGGAAGCCATGTTGAGATAAGCCCAGATAAGAACATGTTCTCCTCTGCAAAAGTATGGAATATTGTGAACAGGATTATCAGATATGATTGGTGTGCGCCGCTTTAGAAGCTGCAGCTGCGCCTTTTGATCCTTGAAGGTGGTGACGTTCCCACGGATGCGGAAAGCTCGGTCTAACTCAGTATAACGTGAACCATGCTTTTTTGGTGTGCTTGTGTAATGGGTGTTTATGGATCTCCTGTTCTTTGTTACAGCATTTAAAAATCATTCACGGAGTCACCACTCGGCCAAGTTTAGCTTCAGCATCTCAAATGTGGACCTGGAAATCTGGTCTTTCCGGATGTCCACGGATCTCCTGTTTGTTACAGCGATAAACCACTTGCGGTGTCTCCACTCGGCCGAGTTTTAGCCGCGGCGTTTCAGGCTCCGATATGGAAATGGAAATCTGATCTCTGGAACATGTAGTGAGGATAGCTGTGCTCCAATGCCAACGCAGGTAAAGCATAACACAGATTTTACAACGGTCATGTCTGTTCATTTGTTTATACGCCGGGATTGAGTTGCACTACCGGCTGCTGTCGCCTTTATCGCGATCCTATAGTGGTGCATGCAGCATACACTATGGACAGGTGCATGCACTCGGGGCAGGTGATTCTTCTGCCACAGTTTGTGTAAGACTTGCGAGTTTTCCGCATCGTTCAAGCGAGTCTCGGGACTGAGTTTTCTGCATCCGCAGGACCGCTATGTGTAACTGATGGTGATGTGACCTTGGTCCGTTCGCTGATGGCATTCAAGTAGTATTTACCTCGACTTGAGAATCTTGAGCTCTAACTGCATCCTGACTGGAGTAAATCTCTGCTATACTTCCCCCCCCCCCCCGCCTATACTTTACCCTTGTACCATTTGTAGTACCAAGAGTACATAACCCCCCAGAGTGTGCAACTCCCACATACCCTGTTGTCCCGACAGAATTTCAAGTTGACGTCATTATTTATGACGCAATGCTCCTTGCAGCAGTGATTTACAACATGTGTACGGGTGTCAACGCATCACACGTTTTTCTTTGCAATAATTTGTACAGGATCGATCGGCTTCGGTCAACCACAGGTTCTGGATTCGTCTGATAATCCGTGTACAGTGCGCATTGCATCATCAAAATGACGTCAACTTGAAATTCTGTCGGGACAGCACCCATAGTGGAGTTGCACACTCTGGGGGGTTATGTACTCTTGGTAGTACCCATAGACCCCTGCACGAATTACTCATCCTTAAACTTCACATTATTTTTTTGAAGAAACCTGTTCTTGAACATATCATATAAAGAGTATGTGCACTTATTGTTATTATTATCCATTCTCCGTTAATTCACGACAGTGATGGCAATGGCCGAAATGTTTGACATCCGTTTAGCTTTTTCCGGTACTGGGCCAGATCTTACTCCAACCAACTCACACGGTTATAATGTACAGTAGTAAATTATCATTAGAAAACAGGAAATTCTAGATTATTTTCAATTTCGAAGGAAAATATTACTTCAAAATATAGTTACAGTGTACAGAATTAAATCAATTTTAAATTATAATGGGAATGAATAAAACTGAAGATTGCTGCGATATGAGTCTAGTATGAGTTTGGGGAGAAGGGGACCAAGAAAGATTGTAGCATACGGGCCAGTTGGGTCCGCTTGCACAGCATTTACACCTATTGCTGAGCTTCCAATGCTCACTGAAAGCAGCTGTAGTTTCGAGCGTCCTTTGTAGGTGCATGACCGACCCCTAGCTGGTTCAAGCCAGGAGGGGCTCAACGAGTACAAGAACATCACCATGAAGCACACCATTGACCGAAACGCCACCAGTGTTTCCCTGCAGGCACAGGGGGCTGTAATCCTCCTCTATTCAAGCAGTTGGCCACTCCGGACAGATAGTCCAGTGGCTGCCGACGTTCTTGGGACCGCCGAATATGGCGCCGCGGTGCACGACGTTAGGCGTGTGCTGTCGCTTGGAGAACTGGTGCCAGTGCATGCTGGGCAGCGGGGAGAAACGTGCCTCCGTGCCGTCCACACCAGCATCTCTGTAGCAGTGGCAGAAAAGTATATATATGGGATGCAATAGATGGAGAGGGGGGGGGGGGGAGGGGGGGGGGCAAACCCCATACACACATATCAACATACACACAAGCGCATACACACACACACATACATGCACACATACACACACACACATACATGCACATGCACACACATACACATACACACACACATACACACACACACACACACACACACACACACACACACACACACACACACACACACACACACACACACACACACACACACACACACACACACACACACACACACACACACACACACACACACACACACACACACACACACACACACACACACACACACACACACACACACACACACACACACACACACACACACACACACACACACACACACACACACACACACACACACACACACACACACACACACACACACACACACACACACACACACACACACACACACACACACACACACACACACACACACACACACATACCAGGGGCCTCGCACACGGTACGGTCACTACGGTATTGACCGTACCACTATTTGCCCCAAGTACCTGTGAATCAATAAAATGCACTGGTTTGGGCTCTAAATTTCCAAAATTTTCGGCTCAGCTACCCCCACGAGTAAATTGGACTTCAGATGGCTGACCGTACCACACTAAAATACCTTCTGACGCCCCTGCATACACACACACACACACACACACACACACACACACACACACACACACACACACACACACACACACACACACACACACACACACACACACACACACACACACACACACACACACATACACACACACACACTCACACTGCCATCGCCATTGCCGAGAAAGCCCAAAGATTGACCCCTGGGTGCAGTTGTCTAACCATCTTCCTCAGTGTTACCAAGTGCCCTCTACCCCCATGCGTACTGCCCAGTGCCATTTTGCAGAATTTTTCAGAGTTTTCCGTACTCGTTTTTCAGGTCAACAATTTGACTGATTTAGTGTAATTTGGAAGAAAAAACGATACTGTACAACTTTTCCAGCCACAGAGTTCAGTTGCGAAGCCTACGAATTCAGTACAATTTTCAACTTCACCAGGTCATAACTTTGGTCTATATTTCTGGAATCCGATATCGTAACGCTTCCGTGAGTGTTGCATTGGACAGCTTGGAGTTTTGGCGGCCACGTAGATCCTTCGATTGTTGAATTGGCACAAGAAACGATGGAGTTACGAAGGTTTTAGCAATTGATCATATACATGTACATGATCGTTTGCGGGATGTCCGATTGAAATCCGTACTGCGGACAAAACTTCTTTTTTCCGTAAAAATACTGACAAATACGGGCGGTTGGCAACACTGCTTCCTGTCCATGGGTGGAGTGGTCTAACCCTCTCCCTGTCCCTCCATGAAACAAGCTAGCCCTCCCCTAACCCATGGGACAGTCTGCCCCCCCCCCCCCATACACACACCCAGCTTTGGCAAACCCCAGCTTAGTACCAAAACCCTACCAGACCACACACGCACGCACGCACGCACACACACACACAGAACCACAGTACTACAAGTTACTCTTACACTGCCAGCTTGTCGAGGGTTTCCTCCAGCGTCGACACACCCGTACCACCTCCCCTTCCGTTGACGCTTGCCGACCGGGCACGGGACTGGGCGCGAGAGCCGGCACGGCTGCCCAGAGGCCGGGTGCGATTGTAGTGGAGTATCTTCTCGGCCCCGGTGCCACGGTACATCATGGGAATGGGCTGTTGTTCACTGAATGGCAGTGGGTCGCTTGCACGACGTGTGTGCAGCCGGGCGCGATTGCCAGTCATGCCGCTGATCGGTCGGCGGTGCGGCGGCGGGTGCGCTGAACGATCAAGCGAGCGCGAACCCGACGGCAGAGGTGGCAGCGAGTCTTCCTGCTGCCACTGACGGCTGTCGGCCAGCGGTGCCGTGTGTGCCTCCGAGAGGCCCTCGAACACTTGCAAGACCAGTTTACGATCTGCAGCAGACAACACCGAAAACAAGCCAGCCATCACTCACGGATCGCTAACCACAGTGTTGCTCAATGAAAATCCAAATCCAGTCGAATGAGTCGAATGTGTCGAATGAGTCAAGTACGGGCCGGGCGTTGCGCAGCCCTAGATCTGCAAACACTGGGCTGCGAAAATGGTGCAATGCGCAAACTTTACTGACACGACTGGGTTTCATTGAGCAGCGCTATACACAGTACACCATGTCCAATACAGAAAACTAATGTGTCCCAGTGCATCGTAAAACCTCTCCCCTACCCTCCCCCCCCCCCCCCCCATGGGACTCAATCAGAATTAGAATTATGAGAAATACAGGACATGTACTAGAACAACAATGTTGCCACCATGGCCGCGTCACCAGCCCACTGGCATCCATGCGCGCTATGCTCACTGCCCATCAACAACCTTGCACCACTCCCCTGCTGCAGGCTATGTGTACACGAGGCACAGGTACACTATGCATGCTAAGCCAGGAACACCCCCGGCCAGGTGATGGTAGTGCATATTCTCGGACCCCTACCAGGGGCGTCGGAAGGTATTTTAGTGTGCTACGGTCAGCGATCTGAAGTACAATTTACTTCTGGGGGAGGGGTTGCTGAGCCGAAAATTTTGGAAATTTAGAGCCCAGATCAGTGTATTTTATTGATTCACGAGGTATCTGGGACACAAAGTGGTACGGTCAATACCGAAGAGACCGTACCGTGTCTGACGCCTCTGCCTACAGCTAGAAATCCGAGCTGCACCGAGGCAGCACCGTGACTCTCCTGCAGGTGTTCTGCGCCTAAAGCTGAGGACGTGCCTTGCAGTACCCGCTACAACCCCACGGCACACTATATCCCAAAGAGAATCAGCTCCTACACATAGTTGACTTGCCAGTCATGTCAGCTGTCCACTGTCATAACTCGCCGGCAAAACTCCTTGCAAACGACCCACAGACAAAGCTACCGCACATAACCCGTCGACAAAGCTAATTACAAACTACCAACCAAAAACCCAACTACCGCACACAACCGGCCGATGAGTCTACTGCAAGCGACACAACGACAAAGTATAGCAGCAGCAGAAGTCCCTGACAAAGCTCTCCGCAAATGACCCAACAACAAACTCCCACACACAACCAGCAGCTACATAAGCGACCCACTGACAGATCACGACACACAACCCACTTACAAACCTTCTTATACAGTTCATTGAGCACACAAATTACTTGCAATGCATCTCCAGCAGGTTAATGTTTGTGTTCCTGCCGAGTTCTTGTATTTCCTTCAGGTTAATTCTGGTCACATGGTCTCCAGCTGGTTTTATGTCTTCAGCAGGCTCCTATGCCTCCTGCAGGTTTTTCTCCAGCAGGTTTCAAACCCACAAACACACTCTAATAACAGCTGCCATTGAGACACACCAGCTACTTCGCTATCAGCATTGACTTCGGGCAGCAACCAACCAGCAGGAAACACGGTTTGCATTAACTAGAGGACAAAGTAACTACCACCTCCACGGGCTACATGCACAGCCATGTCAGCCAACAACAAGAGCTGACCGCTTGCCTACACCCTTTTCTTATGGTGTATGGTGGAGGTGCGAGGGGTGCAACGGGTAGCGCTGCGTATGAGGAAGCAAGCACACATCCCTTCACAGCTTGATACATGTACGACAGGCAGAAGATCCAGAGGCTTGCAGCCACAATGTGGCCATGGTGGTGTGGACATGTACTGAGGTCAGATGTGACATTGTACATACGGCATGATTCAACACCATCACCGCCACCAACACCATCTTCACCAACACCACCAACACCAACGCCATCAACCGTGACCGCCATCATCAACACCATCAACACCAACAACACCACCAATAACAACACCACCTATAACAACACCACCACCACCAACGCCGTCAACCGTGACCACCATCATCAACACCAATAACAACAACACCAACACTACAGTACCAACATCAACACCACCACCATTAACACATCATGTCAGGGGTGAGACTGGTGGCAGCAATGAGCTGAGAACTAGTGCTTATCCGTGGAGCTGGTGATACACAGAGCATGCATCGTGACTCCATGCTCACGCTGGTGATACACGGAGCATGCATTGCGACTCCATGCTCACTCCATGCTCACTCCATGCTCACTCCATGCTCACTCCATGCTCACTTTGCACGTACATTGCTAACTTATCTCATAAAAACATGCACTGCAACGTAGTACGTTGCAGTGCCTGAGAGAACGAACTGAGAGCAGCGGGTCGACACCGTTTTATGCATCAGGGATTGCCGTACATCCCCGGCATACGTTCAACCTCCCCACCGTGACTACAGGGATTGCCGTACATCCCCGGCAAACGTTCAACCTCCCCACCGTGACTACAGGGATTGCCGTACATCCCCGGCAAACGTTCAACCTCCCCACCGTGACTACAGCACTGTATAAGGATATCACTGTACAGATCTACACTCGATAGTACGGCATCGCGGGTTACGAGACAAACCTCATCACAGACAACAATGTGTGCATTTCGAGCAGCACCACAGAAGAATGCCACGGCTAACGTCCCCGCATCTAACCTTGCTCGGATGCCGTCTTGACCCACTCCTCCACACCAGGTAGTGCTTCTTCGGCTAATGTTGACTGCAGGGCTTTCTTGAGTCGCAGCTCCTCCGTCGCTCCAGACTTGAGCATGGATATGACAACATCTTTCTCTGCGTGCAATTGGGGAGTGGGTCAGAAACAAGAGGTCGCCGCCACGCCAGTACGTACACATACACACAATCGGATACACACGTACACAGGCACACATACGTGCATGAACGTACACAGACACACAGACGTGTATACACACGTACACATACATATGCGCATACACACGCACACACACACATACACACACATATGCACATACACACACATCATTCTGTATTCATGTTTCCAGCAATGCTCTATAAAGCTCTCTGTCGTTCTCGCATTTACAACACTCTGACATCGGTGCTTTGAGCCAGTGTTAAAATGCGTTGCAGTTAGATTTCATTGTGATCAGTTCAGCCAGTGACTCGGAGTTCCGCTGACGAGACCTAAGAAAGTCGAAACAGCTACTGTAAAGTCGTAAAATTTTCGTCCCATTCAAATTGCGGCCTCCCAGGGCTGAAACACATTTCGGCTGCAACAAATTTTCGGCCTGTATTGCTGCTGCCTGTATACACTGTCACACGGAACCTTGCAAAACAAAAATTTCACCTGCTACAATTTTTGAGCAAGTATGATCAGGCCAGAAATAGCCGAAAATAAATATGCGCCGAACATTTGTTGCCTGTCAGTAAGTGTCCTGAGTTTGAGTACAGTCAACTTCGCGTATAACGACACTCGACGGGGCATCAGAAAAGTGTCGTAATTCGCGAAGTGTCGTTATACCCGAAGTCTCATTACCGTATTTTTCGGAGTATAGTGCGCACCTTTGTATAACGCGCACCCCCAATCTTCATTGGGGGTGCGCACTTCAATCTTCATTGAAGTACATGCATTTCATATTCGGAGCATAGTGCGCACCTGCGATCTAGGGCCTAAAATAGCACATCTAAAGTGCGCACTATACTCCAGAAAATACGGTATATGTATTACAATTGGATGGGAATTTGCTCTGGGCATGGAAATTCAGTCGTTATTCGCGAATTGTCGTTATATCCGCAGTCGTTATTGGTGAAGTTGACTGTACATGATTGTGTAACACTATGATGTAGATTGGAGGCTTACCTACCCCCCCCCCCCCCCCCTCTCATCGACGCAATTCACACTGGGCAGAAGTGCGGGAACACATCACTGCATTCAATCATGACGTCATCCCGTGATTCGGGTCAAACTCACGGTTTGCAGAGGCATCCGAATCTAGCCATGACTCGAGCTGTTGCGCCGTTCCAGTACTGTGCGTCGTGGCTCCCACGACTCGTTTCTACACCACACACGAAGAAGACAAGGATGAGGACGACACCAACAACATAGTGGATGCTTATGGTACCCAGGAATATACAGGGGACAAGTAAAACTCAAAAGAAGTCTTGAGGCTTCCTGCAGCTTCGTAATAGAAAAGAGGTTAAAGACACGCCTGACACGCCTGACACGCCTGACAATATGGCGGTAAATACACTAGGAACTGAAAACATGTGATATGCACAGCAGGGATGGTGTGACTGATCATCAGTTGTATAAAACAATAAAAACAATGGGCGGGCAGCACTCAGAGCGAGGCCGTGCATGGGATGCAGCAGTAGGGGATCATGGTGACAAGTACATGTAGCCATGATGTTACCACTTGCGCACTAGCCCCCCCCCCACATTTTTTATTTTTTTTACAAAGAACACAAACCCGGCTCGAGACAAAAATTAATAACAAGAAAGATAACAAAGTTGCAGGGAGAACGAAGATACGACTAGCACGCACAGCCCTGCTTGCCATTTCAAATGATATCCCTCTCTACCTTTGCTGTCGCACTGGCTGGTCGCAGTACAATCGTCTTCTGCGCCGGATTAGTCTTGGTCGCGAGCGGAGCCACTGAAGCAGATCACAACATGCACACAAAGAGGCCAATAAGACAATGCCTAAACAAGACAATGCTACCGTTTAATCACCAAAAAGCAAACCTAGTGCAAATTGAAAAAAATGTCGCAGGTCTAAGCACCTGCAGAGACCCAGTCGTGCTTAGACCTTCTCTTTGTCAACAACCCCCAGCTTGCACCGGATATTAACACGGCTTGTGCTCTTGGATCCTCGGATCATCTGACAGTGTCATGTCGGTTCGATCTCTCACCATCAACTGGCCGACATCTGCAGCAGACACCACGCAAACCTTTCCCTTACCGCTACCGTCATGTCCCCTCCCCACTGCTGGGGACTCTCTTTTGATCTCTCTCATTGTGACTGGTCATTTCTACGCCCAGGCAACTCCCCAACTGTTGACCACGCAGTCGGTCGATTTTCAAACATCCTGGAACAAACCTTCCAGCAGCACCTTGCTGATTTTTCCACCCATTCTTGTCGGTCATATGCACAGACATCATCTGTGACATCCAATCCACCTTGGGTGTCGACTGTCCTCGTATCTGCGGTGAAACGTAAACGAAACCTCTTCAGTGTCAGCCACAAATTTCAAACACCTGCCAACCTGGAGGCCTACCGAGTGCAACGCAACTTTGTCAAATACCTATCCCGTAAAACCTACCGCTCTTACATCAACTCCCTCTCTGCAACAATATCATCACCTAATCGTCCTTCTCTCTATCAGTTCATTCGCACCCAGCGTCCCAGTGTCTCTCGCGCCCCCATCCAGTGCTTGATTGATCATGATGGCAACCGTCAGTCTGAGGCAAAGTCCATTGCGAACACTCTCAACAAACAGGTTGTCTCCTCCGGCCTTCCCGACGATCCGAACTGGGTTATCCCGCCCCTGAACCCAGCTGCTGAGCTGCGCGCTCCACTTCTGGACGTCTTTACAACAACTGGTGTGGTTTGCAAACAATTTAAACGTCTAAAGATCTGCGAGTCTCCTGGAAAAGACGGTATACCAAATGAAGTCCTTAAACTGCTGGTGCCTTACTTGTCTTATCCCCTGTGCTTGCTCTTCAACTTGTCCTAAAGTGCAGAAGTCTTCCCATCTGCGTGGAAGACTGCTATTGTTGTCCCGATATTTAAGAAAGGACAACGCTCCCAAGCTGTTAATTACAGGCCCATCTCCCTCCTACCTGCTATCTCTAAGGTCTGTGAACGCATTTTCTATGAATCTCTCTACCACCTCGTCACCCCTGCCCTCTCGTCTGCACAATCCGGCTTCTGTCGTGGCGACTCAACTACTTTGCAATTGACACGCTTAATCCAGGATATCTACGGACATCGTAACCTGAAGAAGCATGTAGGTCTCGTCTTTTTTGATCTATCAAAACCGTTCGAGACGGTTCGACACAGTCTGGCATCGAGGCCTACCTAAGCTCGAGTCTATTTTTCTTGTACATGGTCCAGCTCTGCAGTTGCTGTCGTCATATTTGTCGTCCTGTCATCAAACTGTCCGTGTCCCTCCTTCCTTGTCCGATCCCTTACCTGTAGTGTCTGGTGTTCCACAGGGGTCAATACTGGGTCCACTCCTTTTCTAACTTTTTTTAAACGATCTGCCCTCTCTAGTACCAGACGTCAGCCTTTTTGCTGACGACACTGCACTGTTGTGCTCTGACAGCTCGCCGTCCAACCTCGTTACCTCCATGCAGACAGGCATTAACTCCACGATAAACATGGATGGAAGCTTGGAAGCTAAGGCCTAACATCGCGAAGACCGAAGCCATGTTCATCAGCCCATCGCCGCCCACTCAGCCGTTGCACTTTCCAGGAGCCAATGCTAACATCAATATTGTTCAGCAACACAAACACCTTGGTGTTATAATCGACAGCCACATGTCCTGGTCCCCCCAGGTCCAGTCAGTATGCAAGCGAGCTAGTTCCTCCCTTGGCATGCTGCAAGCTCACTACCAACATTTAAATCACCATTGCCGAAAAGTGTTCTTTACGTCGTATATTCTACCTATATTTGATTATTGTGATACAGCGTGGTGCGGCCTGTCTCAGGCTCTTGTTCAAACTCTGGAAATACACCAGCATCGGCTTTTAAAAATCCTGTTTCGCAAAGATCAAACATTCTCCTCCCAAAGTCTCTACAGTTTAGCTTCAGTATCTCCCCTTCTAGAGCGACACCAGCAACATCTTTGCATTCTTGTACACATGATCTTATCAGACCTGGTTTCCAAAAACTGTGCTAAGTAGAACTGGTTTGTGTCCACCAGATCAACACGTAATTCCTTCTCATTACCCTGCGCCAACACCTCCCTGTTTCTGAAATCTCCTATCTTCTCCGCGTACATTCACTGGTCTGCCCTGCCAACTAGCCTTAAAGCATGCACAAATATTGAGGAGTTCAAGCTCCAGCTTCTCCGTCCTAAATAATCCCACTATTCTCGTCATGCCTCTCCTTGCAGTACACTCTTTTGTTTCTCTCCTTGTTATTTAGTTCGCCGTGGTTGCCTACCACCCGACTTCTCATACATATTGGCAGTCTAATTACGACGAGCCAGGAGATGTTGAATAAATAATAGTGTTTGACCGTAGGGCTTCAAAGTGCTGCACCATAACCAGGCTGGAGTCATAACCTGGGCACTATTAGGGTGATCACTGGGCATTTTCCGACTGTTGTTACGAACAATAGAACTGGTTCAAGCTTGCATTGTCGTTCACGCTAGTAAATAGTAATTCCTATAAAACAGGAATAAAAAGTTGGTAGAACGAAGCCCTATTGTGACTCTAGGAAGCCCTCCCCGTTGCGATATCGAGCACTGTATGCGAACAGACAACTAACTCTATAGTGTAAATATTGCCGGGCTGCTGGCCCTTACATATCATAATCCGTGCCAAACCGACCGAGGGTGATAGCTTTCCCAACTATCTTTTTCCTTACTTATGTTCTGACAATCCCTCACTACTGCTAGCACACCATTTACCGCAAGATCACCCAGAGTGTGAAACTCTAATTTGTAGCTAGAATTTCCTCTCTCCCCAATGAAAACTTGGATGTTGAGCCAATAGTAATGTGTGAAGAGAAAAGGACCTATAAGTTACTAGTGAAGACTAACAGTCCACCAAGGTAACGAGATAATAATACAGTCAGACAGTGCGACAACGAGGCACAGGTGTTGTGCCTCGTTGTCGCACAGTAGGGTATATTCTAGGACGAATTTCCAACCGGTTACGGTGCAATGAAAAGTCGGGGGGTCCGGGGGTCCCACCGTGGAAATTTTTCAAAATACAACCAAAATATAGCACTCGACAGCAATTTAACAGATTTCTTGGTGCTGGAGTGTAGCAAAGATAAGCAGCTCCATTCACCCACAGAAAAGTACGGGCGGTTGGAACTGATTTGTAACTTTTCAACCGGTCGCCAACAATTTCAACCGGTCGAAAACCGGTTGGGGCGGTTCTAGAAAATTCCCTGGCACTGTCTGACTGTATATTATCTCGTTACCTTGGTGGACTGTTAGTCTTTACTAGTAACTTATAGGTCATTTTCTCTCTCCCAACGTTTGCAAAAATCATGAATGTACTAGTATTACCTGAATACCATAAAACTCCCCTAATTCAGGAAGGTTGGGACTGAGCACAGCTCGTAACTAGGAATTTTCCGTAATTCATAACATACGCGCTTACTGAATGCAAGAAAACGCTTAGTTTTGCCAATCAATAGCTGTTCGGGGCCGTTTTCATTGAAAAGCCAATGTGTTTGACTCTACAGGGACCAGAAAGGTGCCTGGTACATGGACGTGCCCGGAATAGGGACGTCCGGATTAGGGGAGTACAGTCGGACCTCGTTTATCCGGCCCTTTTTTTATCCGGATCCTTCGCCACCCGGAAGAAAATCGTTGATTACCGACCGCCCCTAGGCCCGCGCTACTCACATTTTCCAGTGTTGCTGCGACACTTGCTGCCTGGATAGCCAGGGTACTCGACAGTGGCAGTCGTGTCCGGCCCTGCGCTGTCCGGATCCTTGCGGCCCACAAACTCACTACGAGCTATGGTGGTGCTGACTTCGTTGCCTGCGTCGCCATCTTATTACCGAATGGACAAACACACAACAAAAACACGACCAAAGATTAACCAAAGATTAACAATGGGATCTCGTGTGCTCTGGATGCCAGTCGTGCGTCAGTCAAGTGAGAATTCAAATCGGCAGGAAAACCGCGAGCTCTCATGTAGGGAGCAACACATAATTCCCAAAGATTTACCAATGTCTGTGTTGAAACAGTTCAGAAAGTGTTCAAGCAGTCCCAGCACCTGATAACTTCTACACTACGGCACCTGTTTCATGATCTAGAAAACGGGGGATTCCCCTCATTCCTCTCCTCGTAAGAGCGAGTGACTGTATGTATAGGTTGACGTATGTACAGAGCTGCTCAATGAAATCCAGTCGAGCTTCTCAAGTATGCGCCGGGCGTTGCGCATGCCCTAGACCTGCAAACACTGGGCTGCGAAAAGGTGCACGGCGCCAACTTGACTCTCGCGACTGGATTTCATTGAGCGGTACTGTACATACGTCAACCATAGGATTGGCCCTAGTTTGTACTAATGGAAGGTTCACATTATCAGTGTTCGTACTAACGAAGTTTTACTGCCCAAAGTGTACAGTAAAACCTGCTTTAAGAGACCACCCCACGGTGCAAGCAAAAGAGGCCGTTAAAGCCAGGTGGTCGTTAGAACCAGGTCCCACAGTGTCTGTGTAGAACTGTGCGTGCATGGAAAAACGGTAGTAAAGAGCAGGTGGTCGCTAAACCCAGAGGCCAGAGGTCTCTTACACCGTCAGGTTTGACTGTACTATTTGGATGAGTGGCTGCGTGCATGTTCTTACCGTTTCCAGTGAGGTAGTCCTGGTAGAAAGACTGGCCGGTCTCGGAAAGCTGTTCCACCGGCACCGTGACAGTGCCCTGCCTGCTCTCGAGAACGCGCACGGGTAGCTTCCACGCCATGAACTCCTGCATAGCATAACAGAGCATAAAACAGGACACAGAACAACATCGTGTAAACTTGTGTAGAATTTCTGCAAAGGTCTGGGCATCCAAAGAAGCAATGTAGCTCGACTCAATCATACATCAAGAATATTTTGTGTTTTAAAAGAACTCAGATGAAAGTAAGCAGCAGCACTCGGCACTTGAAAATTCGGCATCCATTACAAATTAAATGGACGCCGAAGAACTCAGATGGGGAGCCAAAGAAAACATTGTAACATGGAAAAACTTGGGCACAAGTTATGCGATCGACGCAACTAACTAAACCAGATTTTGAACAGGCAGACGTGCACAATCTAGCACAAAACTGACAAAGAGTACTGAGACATTCCACGGCATGAAAGTCAGCTTGAGCACTGCTCGATAGTGCTGACCAACGGCCTTCCAACTTGGAAGGTTCATGGATATTAGTGCTAGTTCCAAAGTATATGGTTCTCATTGGGAGTGAACTGGTACCGTAAATATGCAAAATTTCGGCATTGCACGATTTTCAACAGTTCATCAGCGATGTATTATCTGCTCGGAGTAACACTAGTAGTACATCACCCGTTTTGGGTCGGTGCCGAACGTGGCCGAAATTGAAGGGCTGCCGACTTTTGGTATGTTTACTGTTTGCACTGGATGTGACATGTCCCTGAATTCTGCAACTTAGCGGACGCGAACTGAAGTGCTGTATTTTCCTGGGTATGAGCGCAATGGAGTATAAGCCGCACCCAGATTTTGCCACGAAATACAGACATCTACCCCATCTATTACCGTGAACTTGACCATCGTAATGTAAGCCGCACCGACTTTTTTCGGGTAAATTACTGGTGTAAGTATACCAACAAACAGAAAGCGGTCCACTGAGCGAGATTATCTGTGCTGCCAGGTGGCGATTCGTTTGACATGTCCTGAGACTGCAGCGAGTCATACCAGCACTGTTAGCAATAGATGCATATTTCCAAGATCAACCGACAGTCAAGAAGTTCACGGGCCGGCCACCATCAAGCATTCCAGTAACCCTCGCCAGCGACATCGAAGTTCTCAACTTGGCACTGAAGAACGCCGAGCATCTGAAGCACCTCAGAATAATCATACCGGCATACTCATTGGTTTGAGGGAAGCGATGCAAACGGGAAAGGCCTGAAGAATAAATTGACTGTCATCACCAGGACTCAAACTTCGCTTCAGGCCAGCGATGCTCTACTAACCACTGAGATGTGGTGTAGCTGTCATCCAAGCAATGACCGTTGAACATTTTCTTCCGACTTCGAAGCCTGAAAATAGTCCTTTGTCATATACGGCTCCTTCATTTCTCGTCTCTTCCGTCCCTTTTCTCCCAACCACCCTTCCACGCAACTCCCTCGACAGTAATTAAGTAGTCATTATGTAAATTTTACTTTTGGAGATTCTGTCAACGAACATTACCGAACGTCAAGATGCCGCTGTTGCCACTTCATCTTGCTCACATAACCACACACTAACACTCAAATCAGTCTCCTGGCTGCAAGTACAATAAGTCAGTATTAAAGTATAATAATTATACTGCAAGTCCACAAAAATTCGGCGCATTATTTATTTTCGGCCTGGTCATGTTTGGCCGAAATAAGTATTTTGTTTTGCAAGGTTCAGTGTGATAGGCAGCGGCAGTACTTGTACAGGCCAAAAATTTGAGGCGGCCGACATGGGTTTTAGCCCTGGGAGGCCGAAATTTGAATGGGCCGTAAATGTGTAGACTTACAGTATTGAAAACTTCGAACTGAGCGGCTCTGTTGTAGCCTTATCATCTTTTCAATACACCTCCGTCCCGTAACAAACGGAATGTTCTCCGCTACACCATCAGGATAGCGGCGACCTCCTGGTTGAAAATTTGGAAACAATCCGGCATTGTGCATTGTGGACTGTAAGTCTTCACATTTTCGGCCTCCCAGAGGGCTAAAATCCATTTCGGAAAATTTCCGGCCTGTATATGTACTGCTGCCGCCTGTCACACTGAACCTTGCAGAACAAAAATAATAATTTCGGCCAAACACGGCAGGCCGAAAATAAATATTATGCGCCGAATATTTGTTGACTTGCACTAGCCATGGACTGTTCATGTGTTGCGGGTTGGTTGAGGTCCATCTTCAGGCATGATACCATTATGTGTGGAAAATCTGAAGATGGGCCTGGTCCGAAAATTGAGTGTTTGTCCTTGAAATAATTGTAGCCAAGACTGCAAGAGACTCTGTTTGTGTGTTGCTGTATGGTTTTGTGAACAAGGCATGCACTAGTAACTGGGAGTGATGCCACCTCGACAGTATCGGTCTGGCCAATACAATACCACCCATTCAATGAATCATGCTGCACGTCCCTTCACCTACCTCCTGAGGATGCGGGTTGTTTCGCCTGGTGGGCGAAGTGGGCCTCGCCTGACGATCCTCCGCGCTCACGTGCTTCGCTTCGAACTGGCTTGTGTAGTAAGACTTGAGCTTTTCCTCTTCGCGTTGTCTCGCTCGTGGCAGCACGTAACCCGTGCCTTCGCCCTTGCGACGGTTACCCACAGCGGACGCAGCGCGCTTCGATTCGGTGTAGCTGAGTCCTTGCTCGGACATGAGCGCTGCTTCCAGCTCCTTGTTCGTGGTCATCATCAAGCCCGGCTTGGCCGACTTGCTCCTCGGCTTACCGGTCGGCATCTTTGGTGGGCGGCGGCTGCCAGGCGTGAGTGACGACGATCCGTTGTGCGGAGTAGTAACAATGCTGCCCACAGCTCACGAACCGAACGCCTTGCCCTGGCCTTGGCGAGAGGTGGGAATCCAAGCCAAGGCAGTAGCGTTGATGCTATCCACTGGACGTTTCGGTAGATAGGTTCCTGGTGGAGCTCAATCGACAGTAAATCGTAGCTTGCCAGTATGCTCGATAGCCAGAACTGTCTGTGCCTATGGACAGTCTGGTGATAGTCACACCTTGCCGCCTACAACCAAGCAAGCTGATCTGAAAAGTCGTCTAGCACTGCAGCGTCTTTCCCATTTCTCGCGCCCTCAAAATAGCACTAAAGTCAACAGGACTGAATGCACGAGCCCTTACCAGATTGGGATCTGGAAATGGTGTTGATTTCGTTCTTCTCCGCGGCGCATTTTGGCTCCACCAAAGAAGCTAGCCTCCGGCCACACACACATCACACTGTCGACATAGGAACGGCATACCTTGTTCACGATTACACCGACTAGCACTGAGCCACCCACCGTGCACGGACCCGGCTGCACGTGACTGTTGACGGCCTCACGGGTGTCCGATGTCCGAAGTTGACAAGTGAAACAGATGCCTGAAGGTTGAGTTCTACAGCCTACAGGAGTAGATCTACTGGGTACACGCACAGCTAGGTCTAGTCTGCACTGGCGTACAGCTCCAAGTCCAAGCTATCCGAGATTAGGTTCTCGTTCCTGTCAAGCTGTAGGACTCAGGGAAGAGGTTGGGCGGCGCACCCCATCCAGTGCGTCGTTGCTTTGTTTACACCGGACTCTGATCTCCATGACAAGAATCGGTCTTCTACTGTCTGTGCATGCAGTGTGTATCTACATGTACTATGCACGCTGCTGCAAGCGTTCCCCAGTTTTCATAGCGACCTGGTCACCATGCATATACAGTTACATGTTGTATCATCGATGATCCTGGAGCGACATAGCCGTATCAATAGCTTGTACATGTACAATGTAGCAGCTGTAACATCTCATACATTACAGGCCAATGCCGCCGGTGTACCCGATGATGGTGTACCATGCATAATTATAACTATGGCCTCTGCGTTATGAGAGTATAGAACTATAATAATAATATTATTATGTGCATGACTGAACAGAACAACAAGGACAATCAAGGCTTGTTTGCTGCTACTTCAAGTTTCATGCTCTCGCAATCATCAGGCAAGATGACTGAACAATAATTATAGAGTATCTGGATCAGGGAGTCGTAAAATACCGGTATTTTACGACTCCCTGATCTAGGATACTGTAGCAAGAGTAGTATTATAACCCCTCTGGGGGGCTATAATACTCTTGACTGTAGTCTATGTGGTCTATGGGCCTAGGCTATGGCCTATAGGCCTTATGCACATTGTACAGATGTACGAAGTTCTGTACTATGGCCGTAGGTGTGTACATACCCGGTTGGGTGTTCATTGTGTGCTATACATGCGCGTTTGACCCATTTAGCCTCACAATTCATGGCAAACGATCACTTTTCAAGCCTTCTTCACTTTGGGATTGAACTAACGACTAGCTAGATCTCTGCCGGAAAAAGATTTCGTATGAAATGCCTTCATGGCCCATTTCATAGTGGAAATAGCAGTAAACACAATAGGGTCCTGCACATTCAACACCCAACCGGGTCTACGGGATTCTACAAGATTATACGGGATTTCGTGCATCTGTACAATGTGCATGGCGCTACAGTCCGTTTCAAAAAGATTTACAATCCTGGCGATCGCCCGCGGAGTTTGGCGTCTTACCGTATGAGCACTCGAGCGCTGCCTGGAAAAACTCACTGTGAACTCGAAGAAATATTCCGCGTGAAAGCAGGAAAAATGACAACTCACTCACGTTGATACTGTCATGTACGTCTGGTTTACAACAAACGAGTTCTTCCTCGTATCGATAATGGAGTCAGAGAGGACATGTCGAAACGAAAGTGTTGTAAATGTTGACGAGCTGCATGGGTCCCAATTCGTTTTGTGACCAAAATAGTTTCTTTGAGCTGCGATGCAATTTACTCACCGTGTGACGAAAACGACATCGACACGGACATATTCCCAAGGCCATGACTTGGCAAAGCTATCCGTGTGACTTCGACGACATTTTGAGAAAAGCAGACGCTTGTGAGCGCTGATAGAAGACGGCGTTGACTGCTAAATTCAAATAAATTGGCGATCTTGAAATACTAAAAATAAATCTCAAAAAGCTACAGCGTGATGACTTCCATTATAATTCACTCACACCATTGCAGTGTTGTGGGTGTGTTCACATGGCGTGAGCCAGTCAAGTGTCAGTCAGTTCGGCAGGAAGCGCGAGCTCCAACAACAAGTCGTTTGGTGCAGCCATCTTCTTTGTCTTGTATGTACCAGCTTGATCACCAAAACAATGAAAAAAAAGTTTGACTTGAGGATAGGTTGGGATTTGAACTCACAACTAATCATGGTCAGCAGACAGCATTCATAACCACAAGGCCAAAAAGGAAAGGATAAATCGTGGGTTTTGATAAAAAATCGATACTGGCTTCCTGGGCAAATTGTAAACCATGGGAAAAGGCCGGAAACCTGGCCGAAATTCTAACTCCTTAACGGTTGGTCCAATTGTTCCGAAACCTTCACAGAACAATTTGCCGTGTCCTAACAAGCCATTCTATGTACTTTGTTGTCCAATTTTCCCTTATCTTCATAATTTTTAAGACCCAAACCTGATTGTAAATCTTTTTGAAACAGACTATAGGTGAAATCCGACCCAAAGCGCATACCGCCGCCACCGCCGCCACACTGTACAAAGTGTACCACTCCACAGTGCTGTACATGGCGCCCTGGTACATGGTCCGGATCAGGGAGTAGTATTAGAGAGGTTTTGCATTCCGAATTTCGGAATTATTTTCGGAATGTGGCGGCAGCAGTCGAAAAAGTAGTCGAACTTTCGGAAGTGTGGTGGCGAAAGTGCATGGTTTTCCGAAAATGGATTTTCGGCTCTTTCATGTTTGGGAGTGCATATTTGAATACAAAAAAGTGTATTTTTCATGTTTGAGAGAAAGCCCGGGACTGGTGTGGGCAGGTCGAATCACTGACATCAACCGCCCTGCCTCAGCCACAAGCAGCCTATTCTGCTTTCACCCGAGGCCTCTCCAGCCGCTGGTCTTTCCTCTGCCGGGTACTCGAAAGTGCGTCTGCTGGCCTTGCTTCACTGGAGCGGGTCATTGCCACGAAACTCCTCCCAGCTCTCACAGGCCAGGAAATCAGCTCTGAGCTCCGCGCCCTTTTCTCCTTCCCCTGCCGGAACGGTGGTCTAGGAATATTGGATCCCACCTCTCTGTCGGCCCAATACCAATCCTCACGTGCCATCACTGCTCCTATGGTTGCCAACATCCTCACCCAGAGTTTCAACCTGGGCGACTCTTTGGCAGAGGTCGCCAGCCTGAAGGCCTCTAACCGCAAGGATGTGAAGGCAGCTGCCACGGAAGCCCTTCGCCAATTCACCGCCCGAGCCTCCTCTGCCCTCCAGCACTCCATCAACCTTGGCAGTGAGGCGGGTGCGTCCAGCTGGCTCACGTGTCGCCCCCTCAGTCGGCATGGGTTCAGCTTGTCAAAATGTGAATTTCGCGATGGTCTGGCATTGCGGTATGGCTGGCACCCTGCACGGCTCCCTTCTACTTGTGTCTGTGGTGCCACCTTCTCTGTTGAGCATGCTCTCTCTTGCCCCACTGGTGGTTTCCCGACGCTTCGCCACAATGAGGTACGGGACATCATCGCTGGCCAACTGAAGAAGGTGGCACACAGCGTAGAAGTAGAGCCTCATCTCCAACCCCTCACCGGCGAGCTTTTCCGCTACCGGACGGCGTCCACCGAGGATCAAGCCCGTCTGGATGTGGCGGCGAGTGGCGTGTGGGGAGGACGGTTTGAACGCGTTTATCTTGATGTACGGGTGTTTAACCCTTTCGCTCCTTCAAACCGTTCCTCTTCTCTCGCTGCTCGCTACCAGAGCCATGAGCGAGAGAAGCGTCGCAGGTATGGTCAGAGGGTGCAAGAAGTTGAGCGAGCCTCCTTCGTACCTGTCGTATTCTCAGCCACAGGTGGAGCCGGTCGAGCTGCTTCCGCTCTTCTCAAGCGAATTGCTGCTCTGTCTGCAGAGAAATCCGGAGAGCCATACGCAATGGTGATGGCGTTGCTGCGTTGTCGTCTTGGTTTTGGTCTCCTGCGTGCCAGTGTTGCCTGCCTTCGTGGTGCCCGGCGGATGCGCCGCGTCAATGATCAGTCTGCTGTCCTCGCAAACGCGGAGGCTGCATTGATTTAACTTTCTTTGCAACTCCTGCAGTCTAGGTACTGAGTATCATTGTTATCTTGTGTGTGTGTGTGTATGCGTGAGTCAACAGCTTTGATAAAGTTATTGTGTTTACCCCTCTTGTTTTCTCATCATTGTGTTGCTTTTAATTTTTAATCTTGCCCGTAAAAGAGGCTGTTGCTATCAGAAAAAAAAAAAAAAAAAATTTCATGTTTGTATTTTTGCTTTCTGCTGCTCTCGATTATTTGAAAATTTTCCACGTATGTAGTTTT